AGTAAATATTTCTAGGTTGCAGAACTGACTCATCTTTGTATAATTAAATCACAAAATGCAGGCCAAGTGGTTGCATGGTGGTTAAAATGTCTGGATCCCATGTGACCGACTACGCAGTTCGAGTCCTAGACCTGGTACCTTGATAAATACACTAGGCATGTGTGCATGTATTCCCAAAATCCTGTGAGGAGAACGAAGGGGAAGGGACTGTACTGTGGCCTTCCCCCTAGGGAGTGCACTCGCTGTGCTCGCTCTTCTCTCCAGCAAGTGCACACACCCTGTAGGAAAATTAGAAAACAACAAAAACTCACAAAAACTGAATCTGAAGAAAATCAAAAGTTGTGTATTCAATTTACCTTCCTCATCCACCAGCCATTGGAGGGGGACTGGGCCACACAGATGATTGATTCCACTCATTCTTCGGGGATGGTCTCCAGCTGGCCCTCTTCCATCATCATATATGGAATCACATAAGTTTCCATAGCCTCTTCTCTTTTTCCTATCTTGCTGACGTGGAATTTTGAAAAACAAAACTATAAACTCAACTATTCCCCAGAAAAAAATCTCTTATCAAAAAATTCTTTGAGGGACCAGCAGTTAGCATAATGGCTATGTCACTGGACTCCCATGTAGTCGACCGCGGTTCGCATCCTGGACCCAGTGGTTTAAACTCACTCCAGGTGCGTGTGCGTGCGTGCCCAAGATCTGGAGAGGAGAATGGAGGAGAGGGGATTGCGGCATGGCCATCCCCCTGGGGGGTGATTTCTCACTTTCTGTTTCTCTGTCTCTCTCTGTCTGGTGAGCGCACATGCCCTATGGCAAAAACCTCTCCAAAAAAAAAAAACAAAAAAACTTTGAGATATTGTAAATCGTTCATTTGTTTTCATTTATAAATAAATCATAACTATTTCAGTAATGTGCAAAAAAAAAAAACCATGATGATTCGGATTAAACAAATATTCATCGGTTTAACTAACACTTAAGATAATACAAAAAGGAAAAGACATTATACATTAAAATAGAGTTTGAGGAAAATAGGACAAAAAAAAAAAACCATGATGATTCGGATTAAACAAATATTCATCGGTTTAACTAACACTTAAGATAATACCAAAAAAGTACAGACATTATACATTAAAATAGAGTTTGAGGGAAATAGGACTTAGAACAATAACCTTAACTTTCATCAAAGCACATGAAAGAGCACATTTAGAAAAGATAAGAAAAGGATCTAAATGACTTCAAAGAGTCCATGAACCATATAATTAAGATGTCCAGTGCTAGGACTAGCAGGTGGCATAGTGGTTACATAGCTGGTCTACCACATGGTCAACCATGGTTCAAGTCCTGGACCCAGTGGTTGGAAATTCATGCCAGTCACATGTGCATGCATACTCAAGATCCTGGGAGGAGAATGGAGGAAATGGGATTAGTAGCATGGCCATCCCCTCTGGTGGGTGATTTCACTTCCCCTCTTACTGTCTCTATCTCTCTCTCCAGTGACCCACATGCCCTAAGGCAAAAACCTCTTAAAAAAATAAAAGAAATCCAGTGATACTAAAGAGAAAGGAACAATCTCATGAGGGAATATGTGGTTTTATGGATGTAGGCAACAGAATAATTACCAACATAAGCGTGGTATCAAGCAGAGGAAGTAAGACAGGTAAGAGTAAACAGGAACAGAAAAGTGGGATTGGTCAATAACTAGAGAATTTAAAAATAAGAGGAATAAGACAGAGGGATTTCAGATTACCTGTCAGCAAATAATTGAGGGAGAGGGCAAGAGAGGTAGGAAGTGAGACACACACACACACACACACACACACACACACACACACAGAGAACATAGGCAGTGACTATCAGAGCTAAGACCTTAAAGGTGGAAGCTTCTTCTGTAATGGCAAAAATAAGAGATCTGTGAAAATAAGCATTAGGAATTGCATTGGAAGGAGACAGTCTTGCATTTATACAGAAGAGAGGACTTTAAAAAGTTCATGGAAAATGGAATTAAAGTATAAGCTTATTGCAATGACAAAAAATGTGAAATTCATTCATAGTTTTTTTTTTTTTCAAAAATGCATTTTTACATGAACTTCTTGAAGTCTCCTGGCATGCTGACCTTCTTTCCTTCTTTGGAAATACCTACTATCAAGTGACAGGAAAAATATTATCAAAGCCCTTTTTACTGTAAGTTGTAATCAATTTAAGTAATAAGTACTTCATTATTCCCTAAAAAGATTTGCATTATTGCAAAGTACAAGTCTTGTCCTTCAGAATTCTAAGAAAAAGCAGACTAATGACTTTGTACTCCAGTCTGGACTATAGAAAGTTTCAGAGGAAAAAAAATAAGCACAATGGCATAATTAAGCTGACATCTGCTTTCAGGCAATATGATGTAATAAAAATCAGATATATCCTCCTACCTGAAATAACAAGAAGTCAGAAAACATATGTAAAACAATGACACTAAGACATCAAGCAATAAAGGACACTGATTCTTTAGAAATAGAAAATAAGTTAACTCTATGGTTGACCTTGGTTTCTGCACTGTCAAAGATGGGGTTTTGTTTTTGTTTTTTGGGAGAGGTTTTTGCTATAGGGCGCGTGTGTTCGCCAGACAGACAGAGAGAGACATAGAGACAGAAAGCGAGAAATCACCCCCCAGGGGGGATGGCCACGCCGCAATCCTTTCTCTTCCATTCTCCTCTCGGGATCTTGGGCACGCATGCACACGTGCCCAGCATGAGTTCTAAGCCACTGGGTCCGGGACGTGAACTGCGGTCAACTACATGGGAGTCCAGCGACATAGCCATTACGCTAACTGCTGATTCCCTGCATTGTCAAAGATGTTAAGGATCAAAATGAGAAACCCTAAATTGAGGATGCAGAGCTGGGATTTGCAGGACCACAATGGGCTCAGGAGATTACTCACCGTACTTATATGATAGGAAACCACCCAAAGCCAAGACAGAATCACCACAGAGAATTAGAGATAACAGAGCCCACATTTTTCTTTTCTTTTTTCTTTTCTTTTCTTTTTTTAAAAGAGGTTTTGCTGTAGAGTGTGCGCGCACCAGAAACACAGAGAGAGAGAAAGCGAGAAATCACCCCCCAGGGAAGATGGCCACACCACACACCACAACCCCTTCTCCTCCATTCTCCTCTCGGGATCTTGGGCACACACGGACACGTGCCTGGCATGAGTTTAAGCCACCGGGTCTAGGACTCGAACCACTGTCGACTACATGGGAGTCCAGCCAACTGCTGGCCCCAGAGCCCAGGTTTTATAAAAGGCTGGTAATAGTGCTTGTTTGGGATCAGAAATTTATGGATGCTATTAAAGACAGATGAGTTATTGCAGAAGAAAAACACTGAGAACATACAGTGAAAGCACTAAGGTTGGAAAATAATCCTCCATGGAGCTCTTGGTGTTCTTGCATAACCCAGTGTATGTAAGAACTAAAAATTGACACGCTATGAAGATAGAGAATATCTTCTTTTTCAAGAAGCTATTTGATTTTTATACTTTAAAGATAATAGAGCAAAGATGAAGACTGCTTTCTTTTCATTGGAGCTGTCTGTCCACCATGTAACTAGCATGGTAGTTAAGATCAAAGATCTGGAGAAGGTGGCAGTGCGGTGGCTCTGGCAACTCAGGACTGAGTGTAAATAACAAAGAATCTTTGTGGTCCTTCAGAGGCTCTTCAGTGCTCCTCTGTCTTTCGGTCAGCAGTTTCAGTCTATTTGTGGAGGAACATTATTGTGACAGCAGAGTCATTTAATAAGGAACTTGATACTTTACAGAAACTTTTTGTGAACAAGATTAGAGAATACAAATCTAAATTACAGACATCTGGAGGACCTGTTAGTACTGGCCCAGAATATCAGCAAGACCTAAAAAGGGAGCTTTTTAAGCTTAAACAAATGTATGGTAAAGCTGAAATGAACATGTTCCTTAACTTGAAGTCTGAAGATCTCAGATTTGAAGTCATTAACAATCCTATCCTGAAGAAGTAATCAGTAATTTGTCTTGAGTCAGTTGTACAACTGTGAAGTATCAGATAAACACACATTTCACAACTGTCAAATGTTCTTTTAGTTCTGATTCCGAATAATTATTTGGTGATGTTAGGAAAAAAAAAATCAAAGACCTAACAGAACATATACAAGTTCTGGCCACAGCCTTACAGAGTATAAAAAGGTATAACAAATGCTCTTTTTATAGCCAGTAGGGACCAAGACATTGAGGAGAAGACATCATAATTGTTCATGTTAATTTGCTCTCCATATTAAAAATTATATATATTTATATGCATACAGGAAGTATAACCAAGATAAACATATGTCCCCATATATTTCAGGCTTAAAATGTGTCCAGAGAATTTAAGAAAAAGACCAATGACCAATGGGACATTCATGAATACCAACAGTATAGAATTCCATCTACCAAGAAAAGTGAAGATGGTGAAGATGCTCGGCTCTCTTGATCTAAACTGGACATGTGCAAATGCCTTTGCCAAGGCTAACTTTCAAAGTGAGGATGTCTAATGAGAAATTTACAGAATTAGACCAGCAGGAATTGGTAGGAGTACAATAATTAAATTTATTTTAATATTTTCCAAAGGAATGTGATAGAAATGGAAGACAACCTTTAACATTTACATAGACTACTGTTCACGCTATTAGACAGTTGATGAATCTCAACGTTTACCTTGACTCATGGTTCAGATTTTCAATTTTTTTCTACTTCCAAGATTTGAGACACAAACCTGACACCCAAGTCAAATGAAACTTACAGAAAAGTTTATTAGGAAGAATATAAAAGACAGTGAACCCGTTAAGAAAGAGGTTCATAGAAAGAACCTTGAACTTTCTGCTACAAGTGCAGTAGGAACAGCTTTGTTATCAAGAACAGTGCAAGGAGGGATGAGGTGCAAGAGGAGAATTATGGTGATGGAGAACAAAAGAAAGTATCTTCTTCAGTATCCAGGGCCACTCTACTAGCATCTTCCATTATGGAGGAACTTAATTCTTCCATGAGATTTTCTAAAAGAAGAATAAGAGTAAGCATTTCATTAAATTATGAAATATTAGAACTACAAAATACTTCAAAATTATATTATCTAGCACCTTACTTTATATTTAAGGAAACTGAGATCCAGAGTATAAGGAGAATTGGCTAAAGACAGAATGATATTATTGGATTTTCTACCAAATTATCTTTAAATAATTCTAAGATCCTACTGAAGATATTATCACATATGCTGCAATCTTTTAAAAACTAAGCTATTTAGTCAGGCCCAAGTTTGGGATGTATGAGATCTGTCAGTCCTTGGTTAATCTGTCAGGACTCTCACACTCTGCCTGAATTACTTTTTGTGGGAATGACCTGGGGTTTGCACATTCTTGTCATTGTTCCTTGTACAAAAGTATAAAATGACTGTTGAACTGAGAGTTTCAGTCTGCTGCCACAGGAAAGATTTCTTCCTGTAAAATGCACTGGTTCATATACGGATCAAATCTAAAATCAACATATTGTGAGCTTTCAGTCCCTAAGCTCTGATTTTAGATCATGTAAATTCAAAAAGCTAAAATATTGACTCTTAGCTGAAGAAACCAAATTTTGCAGTCACCTCCTACTTCTGAGTTATTAGACACACAGATTTTGAAGCCAACTAAGAGAGGGCAAACCATGATTTATCTTTAAATCGTAGAATTTCAGGACTCAAAGTCTATTTGACAGCTTCAAGTAGAAATCCATCTACTGGCACGTGGGAATGTGAACGCGCAGGTAGAAAAATTACCTTGAGCAACACAGTTCATTACAATGAGGCTGCTTTCTACTCCAGTGGGCTTTCTGTTACCATATGTTCTTCTGAATGGTGCCTGATTATTATCTGCATAAACTGGAGCAAATTCCAGACTTCAAGGCTAACATACGTAATGGTAGGAGTAGGTAATAATTGCTATGAACACACTTACCCGCAGTTCTCCCCTTACCCCCAAATAATACTCACAGGCTCTCAATACACAAGATGCAGGGATTGTCATATGTTATGAAATTGTTGCCACAGATGGGCTGATATAAGCCAGGGCAGGGGTTCACTGTTCCATTGTACCAACCCAAATTTACTGTCTTATATGGACATTTCACCTGAAATTGAGTTGAGAAGAATGATACCGTTAGAACTATACTCAGAAAAGCTGGTCAACTTTGGGCTTTATTAGGAAAAGCTAAGCACAGTTGAGACCATATCATAGTCTCAAAACACCTTTCACAGCTCCCACCTCCACAGAGCAATGGAACCAGATTTTATATATATATATATATACACACACAAACACACACACACACACACACACACACACACACACACACATACAGTTGCCAGGATTTCCTCAGTAACTGAGAACAGAGGGAGGCCTGATATGCTATGGTGAGAAAAAGAAGAGTGCGTAAACAGAGAATATATCTAGGAAATTTAGTTTCTCTCTCAGTTTTCTTTATGCCCAGATTATTAGACCTGATAATAGTCTTATAGATGATCTATGCCAATTCACCTAAGGAAACCAAAACCTGATAAATAGAAAATCTATTTTACTATAATCTGTATGCCCTAATTAAAAATATTTATCACAGATTATCCGCTCTCAAAATCCTCAAGCCATCTCATACCTCGAAGTTATGAAATACGAGGTCATTTAGATTAACTTCCTTAACTCCCTGATTTTGTAGAGAAAATAGAAAATAAAGGAAGGACCATGTCTCATCAGGGGATTAGATCTCAGTTCTGTTTGCTTTCAGAGGTTGTTCTTCCCTGGACAATGCTGCTGTCAGCAATGGCTTAAAGCAGTGTTCTGGGAGCTTGAGGTTGGTGGTCTTAGAGTACAGGCAAATACCATAAAATTGGTATAGCCGAAGTACCTCAGATACAAGGCAGGAGAGAATTTTGTCTAAAGGTTAAGAGAGAAAAATAAGGTACTATTTGCACCTGGAAACTCTGCCTGCTTCTTCCCTTATCTAATACCACCATCAAGGGCAGGATACGCCAACTTGATCACTCAGCTCACTTACTTAATTCCCCTTTTCCTGTAGTTTCACAATTTATACATCAATCAGATCATTCTATGTTCTTGTTTAAGATTCTTGAATTGTACCTTATTACATATTAAAAAGAAGCTGTCTTATTATGTATTGAAATTCCCTATGTGTTCTAAACCATCACAACTCTTAACTTAATACCTTATTCTTTGACCTTTTGGTTTATTTGTTTTATTTTTGTTTTACCCAAATGCTCTGTCTTTCCTTCACGTCAAAGTCTTCTGAACTGTCATGACCATCCCATGAGGCCTTTTCTTTGCTCACCTAAACTTATTCTACCTTCATATCTCACTATCTCAAATATATATGTGTGTATATATATATATATATATATGTGTGTGTGTGTGTGTGTGTTTGTATACATACATGTATATGTATGTACACACATTATTAGCAGAAAATTATTAGCAGATTCAAGAATGCATATTAAAAATTGGAGTATGTTATGGAACACTGTACCACAGCAGAGTAAAAAATGTATTTGACCATTCAATATATACTTTCCCCCCAAAAAGCTAGTAGAACTATTGTCAAATGTGCATAAAATAACGTGATGTTGAGTGTCAACTAAGATGAATATGTTTATACCTTTGATTTGATTATTGCACACTATATGCTTGTTTTGAAAAAACAGTATCATTTTTAATAAATAGAACTTCTTTCTTCTTTCTCTTTTGCTTTGTTTTTTTTTTTTTTTTTGGAGAGGTGTTTCGCTATAGGGCGCGTGCGCTTGCCAGACAGACAGAGAGAGACATAGAGACAGAAAGCGAGAAATCACCCCCAGGGGGGATGGTCACGCCGCAATCCCTTCTCCTCCATTCTCCTCTCGGGATCTTGGGCACGCATGCACACGCGCCCAGCGTGAGTTTTAAGCCACCGGGTCCAGGACGCGAACCGCAGTCGACTACGTGGAAGTCCAGCAACATAGCCATTACGCTAACTGCTGGTTCCCTCTTCTTTCTCTTTTGTGAAAGTCCCATGTACTGCTCTAACTATAACATGGCTGCAACTCCTCCTTCTCTGCATGTCAGTCACACGACTCTTCAGTCAGTGACTCCAGTAGGTAATGTTGTCCTTCTTCACCTGGGTGGCTCATTTTTGCCCTCCATGTATTCATTTAGATGTCCTCTTGACATAAAGACTTCCATTCATCACACTGTTTATAGATATATCTCTACATATCTCTACTCCCAATAAATACTCTTTCTTTCCATCCTATTGTCAGTACAATTTCAGGCACTACAGAGGGTTCTCTGGTGTGTGTTTTATATATATATATAAAACAAACCAAAGTTTGGCTTGGTTCCCAGTTGAAATCTATTCTGGGCTCCTATACCAGAAGTGTACTTGCAACCATCGTTAAAATAGACCTTGGAAAACAGTTCCAAAGAAATGCAGATTGGAATCTTGGTCTGGAAAATCTAGTGAAATATTACCTTAACAACTCCATATGGTGGCCACCATTGTGGAGGACCTAAAACCAAAGAATACATGAAAATAGTTACAGAATCTAGTCCCTGGTGAATCATAGCTTAATCTATGATTAAGAATTAATGTGCTCTAATTTATTACCAAGGAAGTCTGCAACAACTGAAATTATTTAATTTATGAATGTATTTGCTCATTTACAAAAAAAAAAAAATTGGATTAGCTCACAACAGAAGACTATAAAGATGCATCACCCTTCTCATAAAGTTGCCAGTCTACTGTCCCAAAACAATTGTTTCAATTAACACTAATTAGCTTGGAACTTGAGAGAACTGAGATCTGGTAGCCAATATATGAAGGAAACAGAAATGCTAGAACTTTAAAGTGATCTTTTGATCCAATCCCCATGTTGTTTGGAGAGAGCAAAGATTATTCCTTGGTTAATATTCAGGAATTTTGACAGATTTGAAAAATAAAAAACAAACAAACCCTCCCCCCGATGATTTCTAGTTCTTTATGACTCTTAGATGACTTTTCCAAAGTAGGACACAAATGATAACGATCCACTCAAATACATGACAAAGCATTTTCAAAAATTCAGAATTTTCAAGATGTGCCTTGATGTAGGCAAATTGCTAGCTACTTTTGCATGCCACTGCACTGAGTTACCCCATTTTCCTTGTTCCCACAGTGTAAGCTCATGATCTGCATGTAATAGGTGGAAAAATGAATGCCCTTTTCCAGTAACCTAGTCTTTTGGACAACTTTTTTTTTTTTTAATTTATAAGCATTCTCATGTAAAAGCCCACAAATCAACCTCGCATGCCTTCCAGAGCTAGCAAAAGTACTCACCAGAAGGTAGCACCAAATGTATCAGGATGAAGAACAAAAGTGAAGAGAGTACTGGGTAAGATTTGGCCATTTTTCTTCCTGGTGTGTCCTTGGAATGAAGCTCTGAAGTATTATGGTCCTCTAATATAATCACTAAAATAGAGATAATCAGAACATTAAGACTACTTTAGAAATAAATAACCATCTCCAGTCTGTCCACTGTATCCTCTGTACACTGCATTTGAGAAGCCTATCCCATTTTCCTCCAAGAACAAATTCTCGGAAAAGATAAACCCTCATTAATTATTTTGAAGACTAAAGGATTGAGATGATAGATTTGGTGACAGATCTGTGAATATTCAGAAAGCAGAATTGAATTGGAAGTCACCTTATGGGCCTAATTGTACTATTTTAATGTGGGGGGGGTATTTTAGATGCCTTGAAAAGACAATGCCTTATCTGAAGTTTCACCCAAATCGATTCTTTGAGAGGATACAACGCAAAAAGATGGAGTTACTAGAAGCTTCTAGACAACAAAACTTCTCAATAGAAATAGGTATGTACTTACGAATTAGAGAATATGCCTTTGGATTAAGACAAAGATTTCTGATCTTAGGAATGCTTCACTGTACAAAGAATCTTCTGACTTTGAATGCTTGAATTGTATGAGAAATTCTCTTAGTGCATAAAGAGAAAAAAAAATTCTGTGCTGTCTCATCCAAATGCAAAAAGCGAGCAAATTCTTCCCCTTGACCATCTCTCTTATAGCAGATTTTCTGATCCAGGGAATGGAATCTGCAGGGTTCAGGGCCTGACCAAGGACCACTTTTAACTCAGTATTCCTAATCCTGCAAAAGTGACCTGGTCTTCTCTTTTTCCCCTCAGCCTTTATTTCTTTGTGCTCTGCAGCACATTTTAATAGATACTCTATAGAAACTGCTGATATGCTATGATGTGACATGCATTATTCAAGTCACTAACATGTCTCCAGAGTACTCCATTTTCCAGGATGATTATGAATTCTTGGCACAATGTCAAGGGCTTCCTACTCCATCTACTCCAGAGATAGTATCTGGAACAATATGTTTTTGCTAAGCACAACCAAGAACTCATCCTGATATCTTCTCTAGATTCCTACAGGAATGGAGCAGGAATTGTAGAAGTTCCAGCAGTAGCCAGAAGCCTATAGCATGAGGCCCAGAGCCCACTCTCCCCACTCTCAATGCCACACTTTACCCACCTTAGTGAAAAGGGAAGAGGAAGAGGAATGTTATGTGTTTTGTTGTGGCTGGTGCCTCTCTTTATAAGGAGTATGTGTTAGGGCTTCAGGAGGGGATAGAGTAGCTGCGTAGGAGAGAGAGAGAGCACTGAGGCATTGTGTGCCAGGCTGAGCAGGCCCTGGGAGGTCCATTATTCAAGGTCAGATCTCAGCAGGGGAAGATTTTGGGGGAAGGGGTGGGAATGGAAAGGGCAGCTCTTGACAGACAATCCAAGAGAGGCAACAGTATGACAAAACATAGTACAATACAAAAATCATAGCAGAAAAAGCTTAGCTTAAACTAATTAGTAGTACTTTTGGCCAGAATGAAAAATGTATGGCAACGCCTGAGGAAGGGAAGACTGTAATGGGAAGGCTCTGCGACTGACTCTTGGATGCCATTTTCAGGGACCCAAGCTTTCCCCTGTAGCCGACATTTTATGTCCCGCTCAATACAGAGTAAATATCTGCACTTTCTGGCAGAAAAGGGAAGATTGGAAGTGTAACAGCAGGGATGGCACATGCAGGTACCAGAGACTGTACAGGGGGGGTGAACAGTGGTGAGGGTGGGAGGAGCTCAGGGTAAAAACATTGAACAGACATAACAGTGGAAAGTTGTCTGTTACGTATGGTGATATTTTTTATTTGAGCCATATGCAGCACCATCGTGGTTTTCACAAGGAACTTACGTTACCATAGCAAAATCTCTCCTGTTATCTGGACTTCTTGCCTTTGCTTTTAGCTTTCTTTCTTTAAAGAACTTTTCTCATATTATAAAAAAAAAGTTTACACACCAGACACATGTGTGTAAACTTCAAAATTCTCTCAAAATCCCGAGAGGAGAATGGAGGAGAAGGGATAGCAATAAAAATAATAATAATAGTAATAGTAATAATGATAACAATAATATTTTATGCCTTTCGATTTCTGTTCTATATTTTCATTTTCCAGTTTTTCTAAATAAACTCCCTCTCCCGAGAGATTTTTGCTATAGGTTGTGTGTGCTCACCAGGAAGACAGACAGGGAGACAGAAACAGATAGACAGAAAGTGAGAAATTATCTCCCAAGGGGAATTCCTCTCTCCTCTATTCTCCTCCTGGGGGATCTTGGGCCTGCACGCACACATACCCAGTGTGAGTTTCAGGGCTCCAGCTCCAGGACTCAAGCCCCAGTTGGCCACAGAGAAGTCCAGTCCCTTAACCCCTATGCCACCTGCTGGCTCCTCAAATCTTTTTTTTTTTTTTAATTTTTTGCATTTAATCATTTTACATTTTTTTTTTTTTGGAGAGATTTTTGCTATAGGGCACGTGCATTTACCAGAAAGACAGAGACAGACAGAGAGACAGAAAGCAAGAAATCACCCCCGGGGGGATGGCCATGCAGTAATCCCTTCCCCTCCATTCTCCTCTCGGGATTTTGGGCATACATGCACATGCGCTCAGCATGAGTTTAAGCCACCGGGTCAGGGACTCGAACCACAGTCAACCACATGGGAGTCTAGTGACAAATCCATTACGCCAACTGCTGGTCCCAATCATTGTACATCTTAACAGAGAACAATATGATTTTTCAATGCATACATGCACTGCATATCAATCAAGTCAAAATGCTACCATACATAACAGTTAACTTTCCGTTGTTATGTCTGGTCAATGTTCTTATCCTGAGCCCCTCCCTTGCTCACCACTCACCACTATCCACCCCTCCTATACAGGGTCTATGCATGCAATCTCTGTTGTTATACTTCCAATCCTTCAGTTTCTGCAAGAAAGAGCAGACACTCACTGTGTATTGAGCAGAGACATACAGTATCTGTCTTTCATAGTCTGGCTCGCTCCATTTACCATTAAATCTCTTTTTTTTTTTTTTTTGGAGAGGTTTTTGCTATAGGGCGTGTGCACTAGCCAGACAGACAGAGAGAGATAGAGAGAGAGAAAGCAAGAAATCACCCCCCAGGGGGGATGGCCATGTCACAATCCCTTCTCCTCCATTCTCCTCTCGGGATCTTGGGCACGCACGCACACATGCCCGGCGTGAGTTTAAGCTACCGGGTCCGGGACTTGAACCGTGGTCGACTACGTGGGAGTCCAGCGACATAGCCATTGCACTAACTGCTGGTCCCCACCATTAAATATTCTATATAAAATTTTACAACTCAGATGTAATTGTTTAACATATATTGAACTATATTTTTTCAGTTTTTAAATACAGATATAGACACACATATATATATGTACACAGATCGATACACATATACCCTTTTTATTGTAATATTCAAACTATTTTAGTACTACATATTATTTTCTGCCTTGCCACTTAGAAATGTACCATTACTCTCCCTTAATCTTTAATATAGTTACATGCACTATGAATTTGGAAGTCTGGTATCATATCCCATCAGATATATAAATTTTAATCATATTAATCTTCTTCAATTTGTTATTCAATTGACAGTATTCCAGTTTTCTGTTAATATTAACAATGTTAGAATGAACAGATTTTAATTTACCTCAGTTAATTTATCTATTGCTTCCTTTTTTCTTAATTTCTCATTTGGTTTTTATTTATCTTAAGTCTTATGATGACATAATTTTCAAACCTTTGCTGATGGTTTATGTTCTCTACTTTAATCCTCCTAATAAAGTGGCAAAATCACCATTACCATCACACATATATGGTAGTTCTACACTTTCCATGTGGTTTTGAGCAGTCGTCTAAGAACAATCTTAAAATATAATTTAGTCTGACTTAGATAATAAAGAACTCAAAGGTAAATTTTTTTAAGAATTATTTCATTCAACTTTATTTTTTTTTTTGAGAGTTTTTTGCTATAGGGCTCATGCACTTGCCAGACAGACAGAGAGAGACAGAGAGACAGAAAGCGAGAATCACGCCCCAGGGGGGATGGCCACACCGCAATCCCTTCTCCTCCATTCTCCTCCTGGGATCTTGGGCACGCATGCACACGCGCCCAGTGTGAGTTTAAGCCACCGAGTCTGGGACACGAACCGCGGTCGACTACATGGGAGTCCAGCGACATAGCCATTACGCTAACTGTGGTCCCTCAACTTTATTCATTTTAATTTGATCAGAGGGACCAAGAGAGAAAGGGGGAGGAGGGGGGAGTAGTGAGAAAGCAAACCGCCAGGTCCAGGACTGGAGGACTTAAACCACAATCTACCATGTGGGAGTCCAGTGCCCTTAATCTCCATGAAACTTGTCACATTGACTTTCAAAAGCATCTGACCTTACAAATCATTTATAAACTATGTAAAGTATAAAGAATACACCCCATGACAAAGGCGTGCGACTGGGCAGTTGCTGGAGAACAACTGCTCTGGGAATGGAATTAGATGTTACTTTTATTGTGGAGTTTTGTCGTGAATATTTAGGAGGGAGGGCCATCATTGCAGCCTATTTCTTCATTTGAATTCTCAGGCTTTTATCCGAACTTGTATATTTTTTGCCTGGTAAGAATCTGATTGCCCAATTATGCATGCCGAGTGTGGACTTTGAAGGTATGAACATCTATATTGGAACAATTCTGCCCATATGAGAGAAGTGCACTCACCCATCCATTGCCAAAGAATGGCCACAGAGACACAAGGTAATAGAAACACAAGTTACAGGGAAGCAAGACTGGGTGTCTGATGGGCAGCACATTCGTATTGGTTACAACACACAATCTATTCCAATCTATTCCCTAGTGTGCATGTCTCTCCCCAATTCCTCATTGGCTTCCCAAATATAACCTAAGTTTGATTATTCTTTTATGAGGTATTAAGGTGCAGACTCAGGACAAGCTGGAGAAAAAGGTCCAGGACATATTCTGGGGAGGGAAAAGAACCGGGAAGTAAAAGGAGCCAAGGACTGGTGACCAGCCACCATCTTGAGAAGTCATTTCTTAAAGGCGACTTGTTTTGGGGTTGTGTTTGCTCAGGAACTTTTTGAGAATGTGTACTTTCTGGGGTTGTCATATCTGCAAGCTGGTTAAGCACCTTTTGTTAAGCTGTTCTTGAAAATGAATCACTTGAGGCAACTTTTTTGTACACCGTTATCAGTTTATTACCTTGAGTGGGAAGTAGAATGTTAACTAAACATTCTGGTAAATTCCTGTGTACATATGTGGAATAGCGGGAAGCATAAAAGTATTGTAGATAACCTCTCTTTTCTTGGCACTAGGGTATCTAGTTACGATCTCTAGTAACAGTGATTAAATGTGTCACATGTCCCCCTTAGCATATCGGGACTCCCTGCTCATAATATCTAACAAAACTAACAGGAAGATCTATCTTTTGCTAGGTCTTAACCTAAAATTTTGAGTGTTTTAAATCAAATGATATGAGCAAATTCTCCTCTCACCTGTTTATGTATAATCTTGTTTCCAACTGACAAAGAAATAGAGAAAATCTTTCCATGTGATGACTATAGATATTTTTCTTAAGAAAAGAATCACATTCACAGAGACAAAGTCAGTAGTCAATTTCCTACTGAAAATTTTTTATTGAAGAATCAAATTCATGTTTGTGCTAGACCATTGGTTGCCTCCTCTGCAATCCTAGAGAAGGTGGTTCTTAAGTGGAATCTGCCGAAGGGTAGTTGGTGCCCTTAAGCTTTAGAGAGCTGGCATTGTCCATAATTTGCCAAATAAACTGCACCACGACTTTTCCTACAAAAGAAAATATTACTTAAAAGAAAAGCTATGGAGACCTTAGAAAAGTTTCATATGCTTAGGTCAAGCCAGCAGATAAGTATACAGCTTGAAAGGTGAGAAATTAATCACTAAGCTTCATGTACAGAAGAGGAATTCATTGTGGTAGTAAAAACTCTTATTAGGAGCCAAGAGTCTATAAATTTCTTCTAGCTGCCTTCTAGTAATATTATGATGTTAATCGAGTCTTTCATTTTCCTAGTGTCAGATTCTTCCTTCTATCCTTCCTTACTCTGTCTTTCCTTCATTCTGTTTTTTTAAAATGAAGTATTCTGATTACTACAGTATTCTGAATTATCTCACTCTTATGCTCCATGTAGCATCTAATCTGTTAGGAAGCTAGGATAGTTTCTGACTATGTTTGCAAACAATATATTAAATTCAGCACTTACACAGCAGCATTGCAAAACAGGCATTTGTTGCTATATGTTTTTCCATCAGATCCACAGTGAGCCATGTACTCCATAGTACACACTTCAGAATATCCATCACATTGAACCTGTCCTCATCAAAAACAAACACTTTTATGTTTCTAATTGTCACAACATAGAAATAAAATGTTTAAAGGCCTTGAGGGATCATTTAGCTCCAAATTCCCCACACAAAAGACATGCCCCTAGACACTTAACATACTCTGACCAACAATGGTGGGAATCTAATCACAGAAAGGCACAGTGCAGTCCATGTTTAGGCTCTGTTTCTCACTGATTCCCTATATCTATGTGATAAATACCCTCTGTGGATCCCAGCTTGTACTTAATTTCTGAATCAGTCTTTTTCTTGCCATTCTGTCATCACTCTGTTCTGGTTCTCAACATATCTTGCCCCAACAGTTGCTATTATCTCCTGATGTATTGCCCAGACTCTATGGTTATCTGAAGCTTCAATAATCCTTAAAAAAAATAAAATAACAAAATAATCCTTCACATTTAAGCCAGAGCGATCTTTCAAGAACCAAAAGAGATCTTGCTCTTCAAATATGTAACTGATTTCTCATCAATAGAAAATCACTCATGACCTATGTTTATTACTGCATGCCTGTCCTCTGCCTCTTGCTGTAGTTAAACTTCAAGGCTGAGTTTCCAGAGTATTTCTTGCTCTTGTGAATTTCTATGCCTCCACTCATGCTGTTTTCCTACCTTGCATGACCTTACCCACTTTATCCATCGAACCTATTCCTGCTACTCCTTTAAATGTTATTTACAATGTCCATAAATGACATTGAACTATTCTTCTCAATGCTCAAATAAGGTCAGATAGTCCTCCTTAAAGGGAACTGTTATCACTGTCGTAATCCTACATTTACAGTTTTCTTTTTTTTTTTTTTTTGAGAGATTTTTTTTTTTTCTATATGGGGCGGGGCGTCGCCCAGACAGGA